AACTAGAGGAAGGTTGTGAGTTTCATTATGGCTACACTGAACACTGTGTGACTCATCTCCTCCCCACTACCCCTCTGCAAGGGATGTCCAGATGTCCACAGATGGGCATTGGGTCCCCATCACGCGCTCCCCTCATTCATGATGATATGATTTTTTTTCTCCCGCCTTTGGTGCTTGAAACCTGGTCCCCTCGGCCCTTCATGATCACACATGTTTGTGTGCTGCTTCCATGTGGGCTTTGTTGCTTCTGGGCTAGATAGCCGCTTGTTTACTTTCAAGCCTTTGAGACCCCAGACACTATATCTCTCGATTAGCTGGACACCATCACCTTCATGACACTTACTTATGCACACATTCATCTTCAACATTTATGTGGAGAAGGTGATCACACAAAGATTGTTTTTATTCTTTGGTGTCTGTTACCTGATCCCTTCAACACCTCATGATCACACAGGCTTCTGTGCTTCTTCTCTGTGGTCTTTGTTGCTTCTGAGCTAGATGGCCGCTTGTTTGCCTTCAAGCCTTCAAGACCCCATATGCTATATCTTTTGATAGCCAGGCACTATCCGCTTTCTTCACAACGTTTGCTTATGCACATGTTTGTCTTCAGCGATCATGTCGGGAAGGTGGGTATCATGGAATGACCGTTTAGCTGAGCAAGGTGCTCTTGTATTAAGGGAATGCGCATGAGGAAGCCCAATGTCCACCTGCCACCCTACTACTAAACCTATAAATATATGTACATAGATCTATTTCTCACATAATCATAAATATATTTACATATGTACATGTCTGTATTTAGGCCTCTATGTATGACCTTTGCCTCCTACTCCTTTCCTCTATTTCCTTGTTTTCCTCCTGTCCCACTACCATGTTCAGCCTTCATTCTGGTTTCACTAATTCCTCTCAGTTACCTTGCCCTTGGTCACTCCCTACCAGTCCTCCCATCCCCTCCCTGCCACTGGTTTTGAACCACTTGTTATTCCCTTGTCCCAGGGTTGGCCAACACCTCCTCCCTTCCCCTGCCTCCCACACTCTCATGTCCCTCCGGGTCCGTTGGTCCCGTTATTTTCTTCTCACATTGTTTGTCCAGCCTATCTTATCTAGGTGGACCTGCAGAGATAATAATATGTGCATAAAATTGCGGATGGCTTTGACAGCACCAAACAAAGTGGCACATAAGAACATGGCAACGATGGCAGCAACACTGACAAGCTAACAAACAAAAAAGTACTGATATACAAAATTTTAAAAAAGAAAAAACAAAACAAAACAAAAAACAGAAAAAAAAGGCCTGTTTATAGTTCAAGGTCTGTTTTTTGACGTTTAAGAGTATTTTCCAGACGAGTCTGATGGGGTGCCACATCCTGGCCCAAAAATCCCACAATGTGTGTGTGTGTATGTGTGTGTGTATGTGTGTTTGACAGAGGATATTTGTACATGGTATTTACCTTTCCAGCAGATATATTTATGAATATTATGGAGCATACAAGATGTGGAGTAATGAAAACTTCTTATACATAACCTTAAAATTAAGCCACTGGAGTTAGGACCTCAGAATCAAAGGCTCAGGGGACACCAAAGTCAATTGGCATAACAAATTGTTTTTGCTCTTAGGTGCCATTGAGTTGGTTCCAACTCATAGTAGCTTAACATGGTCTACCAATATAATGACTACACCTTATTTTGTTGAGTAGTGACTGAGGTCTTAAAAGCTCGTGAGTGGCCATATAAGGTTCAACTATTGGTCTGTCCATGTATGGAGGAAAAAAGAGAGATGAAAATTGGAGAGAGAAGACATTTAGTCCTTTGGAACAATACATCACTCCATGACCCCAAGACCAGAAGAACTAGATGGTGCCTGGCTACCGCTAGCAACTCTTCTAAAAGGCTCACAGTAGATGGTCCTGGACAGAGTGGGAGAAAAATGAGAAATACAATTCAAAATCATAAAAGAGGCCAGGCTTAATGGTAAGATAACTAGTAGAATCCCTTTCAGGTCTGGAACTGAACTTATCCCCATCCCTCAATTTTCAGCCAAATAATAGATTTTTAAGGGGAACAGCAACATTAGTGAGGTATGAACATCTTAGAATAATAATCCTTTGAGATCAAAAGGGCAGTATTTACCCAAGTCCAAAGTTCAGAAGGGTCAGCAAAGAAGGAGGAATACAAACAGAAAACACAGAGAGTAAGTGGGTTATGTGATGGTACATTGAGAGGATTGCTACTAATTGAGATGAAGCAAATGCATATGAACTATTGAATGTAAAACAAATGATCTGTTTTGTAAATCTTCACCCAGTTCACTATATATATATATAGACATACTTATAGGTACTTTTCAATCTCCCTTTCAATTCGAGGACTGTTTCTATATAACCTGTTTGGCCAAGGGGCTGAGAAGAGCATCACCAGAACAGAAAAAGTTCATTGAGCGGGAAGAAGACTGATTTTAAAAAGTTTTCTAGGATGCTAAACATATCTCTTCACAAAGTTTTCACACTTCAACTCCAACTAAGTCTCTGAACTCAGGATCAGCTGCTAAGGTACTTACCAGTATTGTCAGGTTGCATGATGGCCATGAGAAAGGTATGAGGAAAGAGCATGGCAGCACCCTTCCTCATTCCCTGAAGCTGTACAGTGTTGCCCTGGAACATGACCCCATGCATGTCAGTCTCTGTACCCAGTCCAAGCAGGTGCCAGTTCACCATGTCACCCTTGCACATGTCCAGTCTGGGCAGGTTAGAGAATAGAAACCCATTAATAGCTGGAAAACAAGAAAATAAAATAGAATTGGCAGGTTAGATTCAAGCACTAGCTAGCAACATGACAGTTCTGTAACATGATTTCCTACAACTTGAAACTATGAAGTCTTCCTCAGCACTTCTTTCTTGTTTTCTAAACCACTTATAAAGAACTAGCAGATATTTTTCTCCCCAGATGTATCCTTTATGACCAGTCCACTCATCCAGATCTATCTCAACTCTCTACAGCTCAACTGTCACTCCACTCTGCTCCAATATGAATGCCTGCTCTAGTCTCATTCCCCTACAGCATCTTCCACACTGCTTAGGGTTAAGCTTTAAAAAGCCAACAATAAATCAGTTAACATTTATTTTTTGAAACCTTCCAAATGTTTCTTATTATCTACAAAACAAATTCCTGACTCCTTATCAAGGCTCTTTAGCATTAGGATCCAACTGAACTTTCTAAAATCATCTACCACTCTGCCACCATGGGTCACATCTTGGCAACACTGAACTACTCTCCACTCCCACAACACTCCCTCACCCCTAACATCTATTTTATCTTCCTTCAAACTCTTTTCCTTGGGTTTCTGTGGAACTACACTCTTCTGGTTCTCTTTTAGCGTCTCTGATCATTTCTTCTCCATTTTGTTTTCATTTACCATATCCTTCTTGAGTATTGAGTTCTTCAGTGTTCCATCCTCAGCTCTCAATCTGTTTCTTCCTCTTCACCTAAACAATCTGGTTTTTGCCATCATCCTCCATGGCCTCAACTCCTGCATCAGCCTCCTTCCTGGTTTGTCCCCATTTCCCTCACCTGAACTGTGTTTGTCTCTGTATCTCCAGGGCTTTAAATATGATAGGAACTTGGAAAACATCTGTTGAATTCTTACATGCTATTTCTTCCTCCTTGAAACAATCCTTCTTTATGGTCTCTTTATATGGTAGTCTACTGTTCAGTCATCATTTGTCAGCTCAAAGGTCACTGTCCCTGTGAAACAGTTTTATCTGTTTCCCATTAATTTTTGTCACGACCATATTCTACAACAGCATTTGCCACACAGACTACAATTATTTACTTACAAATTTATCTCCTGCATTGTATTGACCTAGCAGGAAACACATTATTATTATTATTTTGTATATCTATGACTGCATGGGTGTTTCCAGTACCAATTGGGTACTGAATACATTCTAACTGAAATGAACTTGGCAAATAACTATCATAATTTTTCCAGCGGATAGAATTGATTGGTTATAGGAACAAGAGATAGCCAAAAGACAATGGACTCATTTTTGCCCTCCTCCAGGTCTCCCCACAACCAAAACTACACAGAGGACTGCTTAGAGCTGACAACTTGGTCAATGTCCCCAAAATAATTGGAATTATATTTAATTTGTCACCCTGTGCTGCCTGTGGGAATATTCTACTGTCTCTGGCCACAGTGTCCTGATTACCTATACTAATTCAATATTTACTGTGCATTAGATGGTGTAATAGACAAGATACAAATATAAATACACTGTAGCCTTTTTTAAAGGAAACTTTACTCCAGTAGAAGTAAAAACCCATAGCAGTTGTAAAAAGCCATGTAAAAATAACTGTAATATTGAATTGAGTATGGACTTGCTATTTAAATACTCTGATAAAAATGCAATAGTAGTTCAGAGGAATGTGTCATCACTATGGACTTGAGTAATAAGATATGGAGGAGATGAGCTTTGAGACTGCACAGAGTCACAACAGGTAAAGGACAAAGATATAAAGAAGGGCATTTCAAGATGAGTATATAGCATTGCACTGTTTTGTTTTAAAATGTACAAGATATGCCCATGACAAAAATAAAAGCCAATTTTTTTGTAATATGGCATGCGGGAGTAGGAAACAGAAAGAGGAAGATAAATGTATAGGTATCAGCCCAGCTTATTTCTCTCACTCTCCAGTGGATTCCTTCTTCAAGTGCTCCATCTCCCTGTGTGCAACACAGGACAGACCACAAAATGGTGCAACCTAAAGATTCTGGTACTTTAAACTGAATACTACATCACACTTATGCAGAGTTGACTAATGGGATCAGTATTTCCATGAATGAGTCATGGTTAAAGCTAGCATTAAACACATATTTTGTTTGGAATCCCTATTGGTAACCCAAATAAAAGGTATTCCCCACCATACCATGCATCCGATTGGAGTCTTGGAATCCCTTGACATCCTCTGAAAGCAGTCGGGAATCCAACATAGCGGCTGCTTGATTGGTATTGTTGTACCAGCTCTTGTTCTCATCCAACACAGTGAAGAGTAGAAAGAATTCCTTATCCACCCCTTTCTGCAGGCCCAATGGAGGGAGGTCAGAGAACAGACTGACAATAATTAAAACAGTTGTGGACTGTCAAGCTGCATACCAAGGGTACCCAATTTTCTTTTCCAAACTCAAAGCCAAGCCCATACTTCTTTTCCAGAGCTGCAATTGTTGCTCTTCAGTTAATCTCAAATTGCAAGTGGGTTTAGAAAGTCATAATAAAGGGAAAATGGAGCATCAATGGGCTCAAACATAAGAACAATTGTGAGGATGACACAGGATCAGGCAGTGTTTTGGTCTGTTGTACAGAGGGTTGCTAAGCGTCAGAACTGACTCGAAGGAACCTAACAACAACAACAACAACAATGAGGGACTCTAATACTGGAGGGGAAGAAAGTAAAAAAGAGATCAGGGAAGTAGTACAGGATGAGGATTAAGAAGAGGAAGCATAGAGAGAATTTAGAATATCCTGGAGAGAGGAATGGGGAAAGGTGGCTAGAAGAGCATGGCATGATTTTAAGAGGAACTGAAATTAAAAGTAATTATTATTATTGCTATTACAGCTGACATTTATTGAATGAATATTATGCCCCAGACACTGAGCTAAGCACTTTATATAATCCAAACTCAAATTTATTTCCATTGAGTCAGTTATGACTCACAATGACCCAATAGCCCCTGTGGATTTCTGAGACAGTTAATTCTGCCCTCCCCCCGCCACCCCCCACCGAGACTAACGATATACAGGAGTAGAAAGCCACATCTTTCTGTAGCAGATTGGTTGGTTTTGAAATGCTGACCTTGCAGTTAGAAGCCCAATAGATTATTTTGATGAGTTAACACAAAAATCTGAAGTACCTTATCCATCATTAATTCTTTATAACAGATGAGGAAACTGAAAAAAAGTTTAAGTAACTTGCCCAGAATTACACAAATAGAAATAATGAGCTAAATATGAAAGGATAAAAGAAATTTTAAGGTGAACTTATTAAGGTGGACATATGAATTAAGAGCAATGGTTAGGAGTCACTGATGTGAGGAGTGGGGAAAACAAGTAAACAAACAGGAGGTGATGGGAGGAGCTAAAGTGGAAAGGAATATAAGATAGAACACATGTATGTTTTGTGCAGGAATAGGATGCAAGGTAGTATGAAGTCCCAAAAAATTAATTTGTAATTCAATGGCTTGTTTTTCTTCCCCCTATCATCTCACCTCAAAATTTAGCACACACAGAGGCTCCTCCCAGCAAACTTCCCAGGAAGAAGCCTTGTCAATACCTGTTTGCCATCTGCAGTCAATGCACCAGGCTTGCACACCAGCAGGGGACCCACAAGGCCAGAATGTGTGTCTCTTATGGGATCTGCAGCAGAGAAGTACATCCAAGACAGACAAGCAGCATCCTGAGCACTGGGGCCAGCATGGGGTGGTACTGTCCAGTGGTATGTTACTTTTTCAAAGGGCTTAGCCACCAAACCATGGTGAAATGAACCTGTTGATGAATCAAGGAATCCATTATTCACAATGATCAAAGTGAAACCTTTAGTTACAAACAACGGGGTAAAACTGCAAATTTATTTTGTATTTGGAGGGGTGGAATATTGGGAAGAACCATGGGATAGAAGTCAAGAGACCAGAGTTTGGTTTCCAATTCTGCCACCATTTGTTATATGAAGTACGACAATTTAAACGTTCTAATATTTCAGTTTTTCATAATCATAGGACCGCAGGTATAAAAAGGACTTCAAAATGTATTTGGGCTATCATTTGAAAACATATATCTATTCTTTTATTAATTTAACCTTCTCCACATTCACGGATATATTTAAAGCAAAGTTATATGTACATGTTACTTCTGTTGAACCTATATGAGTATAGTCCCAATCTTCTCCCATACCCTTCCAGCCCTTGTGTTTATCCATGTATCTACCATAGATTATTGTATTTCATTACTATTTACCCCTGTGGACTTTAACTCTTAAATTCCTCCCAGTGTCTTTCCCTGGCACTCTCATTTTTTTGGTGACCTCCCTCTTATTGCATGTTGTCTTCCCCTTCACTCATGTGATTACCTTCACATTCTAACTTGTTTAAAATTCTCTAGTGTTTAGAGATACTATCTGTCATAATAGTATGTTTAAATAACGTTGATGGTTGATCAGTGTTTCCTCTGTGTATGTATATGAAGAACAAAACAAAACATTAGAGGTGTAATTATTCAAACGGGTACAGGACATAGTCAAATTACAGATAATATATGTTGTTAGATGCCTTTGAGTCAATTCAGCCTCATAGAGACCCTACGTACAACACCATCCTCATAATTGTTGCTATCTTTGAGCCCATTGCTGTAGCCACTCTATTTTCTCAAGAATCTTTCCTTTTTAATGCAGCCTCTCTACTTTACCAAGCATGGTGTCCTATTCCAAAGACTGGTCTCTTTTTATACAAAGTCTCAGCATCGTTGCTTCTAAGGAGCATTCTGACTGCACTCTTTCCAATACAGATTTGTGTGGTCATTTGGCAATCCATGGTAGTTTCTATATTTTGCCAGTACCATGATTCAAATGTATCAATTCCTATTTGATCTACTTTATTTAATTTTCAACTTTCACATGTATATAAGGTGATTGAAAATACTGTGACTTGAGCCATGCACACATTCAAACTCAAAGTAACATACTTCCTTTCATAATTTTAAAGAGCTCTTGTTCAGATTTATAGAGTACAATGTGTTTCTAATTTATAATCTTATGAATAATCAATGAGATAAAATGAAAATAGTAAAATAACTTTGCCTACCAAATTAGCAAATATTTTCTAAATTATAATAATTAATGCTGCTGAGAGATATTTCAAATGGTACCTACCCCTTTAATTCAATAATAAAGTCAAATGGGAATAGCCCTTTTAGAAAACTACTGACAAAATGTGTGTGCACATTATATATATGTGTGTGTCTGTGTGTACATATATTAAAAACCTAAAAAGATTCATGCAAACAAAAACAGAAAATAAAGATGTAAAATAAATATTGGAAAGAATGTTCACCCTAAAGTAATCAAAAAAATGCAAACCAAAACAGTGTTGTTTCCATTGTATTTGTAATACTGTAACGTTGACAAAAAGTAAAATAACTGTCCCAGTGACCTTAAAGCTAACAATCCATTCAAGATACAATTAGCAAACAATTACCTGAAATAACCGAGGAAGGAGAGTCAGAAGTTGCAGGAAGAACCTGGATTTTAAACTACTTTGTATCTCCTCACTCTTTTAGAAGGACTACCCCTTACTCTAATGTAGAGGTTTAACATGAGCAGAATTAAGTGTTCTGGAATTCTCATTATTCACTGTGTTATCCATAGTTTAGTTTTTCTATGATCCACACAGTTGAATACTTTTGCATAGCAAAGGTAAAAAACTTTCCAATATTTTCTGTTTTTAGCTAAGGTAAATCTGATATCAGTAATGATATCCATTGCTACATGTCCTCTTTAGAATCTGGCTTGGACTTCTGGCGTTGTCCTATAGATACACTGCTGCAACCATATGGGAATTATCTTCAGCAAAATTTACCATGCATTTGTATTAATGATATTATTCAATAACTTCATTTTGTTGGGTCACCTTTCTTTGGAATGGGTACAAATATTGAATTCTTCCATTTGGTTGGTCAGGTAGCTGTCTTCCACATTTTTTTAGCATAGCCAAGTGAGAGTTTCCAAGTACATGTTTGTTTAAACATAACAATTGGTATTCTGTCAATTCCTGGAGACTTCTTTAAACTAGTGAGTTTAGAGTAGCTCGGATTTATTCCTCATTAAAATAATTTTTATGCACAGCCATCTTTATTGTAGTAATTTCTATAATAGCAAAAAAATGGAAACAACCAACTATCCAGTCTGTGGAGGAATGGATACATAAATTATGGTATGTACACTCAAAGGAATATTTTTATTTTAACTCTGCCTATGTCCTTATCTAGAGGCCTCTTAACACTTTTTGCCTTTTATGAATTTTTTTTATTCCTCCCCAGGGGATTTTTGCTTTTTTTCCCCTGATTGAGTCAGCATATTACATCCTTGCTTGTCAAAATATTCATGGCTTTGGGACTTTGAATTGATAAATATTCATAATGTGTGGGGCAAAAATGCACAAATCCATACTGCATGACCTTAACCACATAAAATTGTATGCACACTTGTTGAAATCCATGTTAAAAGACATGTCAAACTGTATCAAATCATCAAAATGATCCTGGATGTCTTTTGTGTTCTTTGCTTTTTGCTCTTTGATTTTCAGTTTTATATAATGCACAAAAAGTCTTGAAGAGAAAAAAAAGTGATTTTAAAAACTTGAATGGAGTCCCCATTGCTTTTAGAATAAAGTTAACTTTCTGACACATACAAAAAATTAAGGAGTCTGTCAAATACTTCATGATAGTAACAAAGTTGGAGGACAGTATGCTTAGCCAAGTTAGTCAATCACATAAAGATAAATATTTTATGACAACATTAGTATAAAGAAAAAATAAATGGTTTTCACACCAAAGGATAAGTCTTTGAAGGCTATAGTGAGGCTAGGGCTAGATGGGGAGATGGAGATGAAAGGGACAGGAAAGAAAGGAGGGAGAGTAGGTTGGAAACAAAAAAGAAAAGAAGGAGAAAGAGAATGATAAGGAGAAAGAGAAGGAGAAGAAGCCATATACACAAAATATTTACTAGGATACTGTCACTTTTTGATTAAATGAGCTGTGCAACGATATATGCTATGTTTTTATTTTTATATTCAATTTAATATATTAATAATTGGGATTTAATGTATATAGCATATTATTCCATAGTTCAATCACATCAAGCAGTATTGTACAATTGCTAACACAGTTTCCAAACATTATTTTGCTTCCTGGAGTCCTTGTCATAGTCTCCCTTTTACCACCAACCCCCACAGCACTGTACCTTCTCCCGCACACACAAAAAAACCCCTTATTCCACTTGCTGTCCTTCCTGAAATGTTTGAATGCCAACTGATTATTTGGGGCATAGTGATCCCCTGTATTCCCTTCTATCTTCTTTGGATGCTTCCTGCATTGTTCAATATTTTACTCAGAGAATCCTTCAATATTGCCACAGATGCTTGATTTTTTTTCTTCCACTATTTCAACCTGAGAAATGCTGAACATGTTCTTCCCTTAGATTAACTTGAGGTCTTTACACATTTAATTATAATTCTTTGTTTTCTCAAGCCACTTGTTGGCATTTTATGTTCAGTTCTTCTACTTCACCTTTCATAGTTTTGTTTTAATTTTATTCAGCTTCAACTTGAACCTGTATATGAGAAATTTAAGATCTGGTTCACAGTAAGCTCCTGGTTTTTCATTGAATGATGATTTCGAAATTCTCAATTTCTTTTCACAGATGTAGTCAAATGACTTATTAACAAACTACAATATGCAGCGACAAGAGCTTGCTTGCTGAAAGTGAAGAAGAGTAGAAGTACTTGCTGGTGAAGATCAAAGATAACCTTCAGCCTTCAGTATGGATAATACTTTAACATAAAGAAAACAAATTTCTCACATCTGGATCAACAAGCAATATCATGATAAATGGAGAAAGACTGGAGTTGTTAACAATTTTATTGTACTTAGATCTACAATCAGCAGCCATGGAATCAGCAGTCAAGAAATTCAAAGATGTATTTCATTGGACAAATCTACTGCAAAGACCTTTTACAATGTTGAAGAACAATGATATCACTTTGAGGACTAAAGTGCATCTGACCAAAGCTATTTTCATTCACCACATATGCATGCGGAAGCTCAAGAATAAATAAAGAAGTACAAATTTGAATCATGGTATTGGCAAAGAATATTAAATATACTGTAGACTACTAGAAGAACCAAGAATCACTTTGAATATAGTTGATACATTTCTTTAGTTTATTTTTTTGCATAAAATGAATTCTTGAAGAGGTCAGGTGAGAGGTCTTGTAGAATGTACTTTTATTCCAGATTTGCTTATAAATTTATTCTTTATATTTTCATTATTTGGTATATTTAGTATTCTATAGTATTTTTACTTAGGATATATCAATATTACTCACAAAAAAATCCAGGAATTAATAAATCCACTTATAAATTTATCTCCCAAAATAATCATCCAGATTACAAACCAAAATTTATATATGCAGCCAGGCATTGCAACAAAGCAGATAATATTCAACAAGACTGGAACAGCATAGAAAATTATAGATGGACCTGGAGAACAATATGTTGAGTGAAAATTTTCAATCACAAAAGAATAAATGTTGTATGAGACCACTGTTAGAAAGGAAAAATCAAAGCAAAGATTTTCATACTAACAGAAATAGACTTTGATATTTAATGGTTTGTGGGGAGAGCAAAGGAGAGAAGATGAAGCAATAGTCTGGAAAGTAGAAAGTGTTAACTTTGGAGAGGGCGAAGATAGTATTTCACAAGATGGAGAAGAGAAGTCCAAGTGGGGGCACAATAGGCTATTGAGGGCTTAATAAGCAGTTTAATTTAATGAATGCAAAGTTGATTATTTGAAATGCACCCCCCCTCATAAGTCACGATAAAAACTTTTTTTAAAAACCAAGAAAATTAAAAGAACATAAAATTCTATATCATTGACTAAATTCATGATGCTATCAATAGAATTACCACATGCCACACGGGATGGTTTATAATGTTCCCCAATAAAATGACAATGGTGTCTCTAAAGTAGGCCATGGAGATATATAAATATCATATCATTTATATAATATATACATGCATATGAATGGATTTGAGGTAGCACTTAATGTAGCCTTAATCTAAGAACAATTAGATCTTATGATATGACCCTACTTGTTACTTGCCCTCATGATTACTGAAAACATGGGTGCTGAAGAAAAGTGTGGTTAATACATCAGGTGGTGCTAGGCTATCAAAAAAGTCTTAAAGGCTCATCTTAAAACACACAGAAATCTAAGTGAGGTGTCAACTAAGTCCACATGGAAGAAGCACATTAGCATGTGTGGATCAAGAATTGAAAATCATAAAATCCAATAGTCGTGGGAATGTTATTAGAGCTTAAATTCTGAGCACCCCATTTTCGTAGGGCTATGGATTACAGTGAAATCCCAAAATCAACTTGTAGGATCTCCACATGGATTAAACCTCCAGTGAATCCCCTCTGATCATTGACCAAGGATGTCAATAGCTTTGCTATAAGACAGAGTGCATTGAGAAGTGGACTAATGCAGATGTAGTTAGGTTAAAATTTAGCATCTTATCATTTGTTCTCCTTTTAATTAATTTTAAATTTGTTACAGTTTTTATCATTTTCTGCTTTCTCTTCAATTGGATTTTTGTGTTTTGTTTTATTTGCCTTTTTTGTGTGTATTTTTCTTTATATGAACTCCAAGATAAATAAAACTAGAGAGATAGTAACTGGATTAATAATTTCTTTAGGCTATGGTAGGGGAGATTGAAGGGACATGGGGAGCTAATAATAATGAGTATAAGAAAGAAGAAAGTGTCCTAAAATTAAGTGTGGTGGTGATTGCACAATTAATTTTACTATATTAAACTATTGCATTATATGTGAGTTATGTGTCAATTAAAATTTAAAGTAAAAGTAGAATAGAAGAAAATATTGAAACAACCCTATATGACCAAACAATAGAGGATAGGGTAAATAAATTATGGCAAATCCATAACAACATAGGAAATAGTCACAATATAACGGTGAACTCAAGTCTGATCTCAACTAATGGTGACCTCATGCATAATAAGATTAATCCATTACGATCCATAGGATTTTTATTGGTTGATTTTCTAATGTGAGTCACTAGGTATTTCCTCCTAATCTGTTTTAGTCTAAAAGATCTGCTGAATCCTCCTCAGCATCATAGCAACATGAAAGTCTGCATTGATAGATGATCGGTTGCTGCACATGAGATGCATTGGTCAGGAATTAAACCTGGGTCACCTGGATGGAAGGTGAGAATTTTATCACTGAACCACCACTTCTTTCCCAGTGCAAATAGCAGGACACAAATTTGCATAAACCATTATGATCTAAAATCTATGAATATATGCATTTTCTTTGTACAGAATAAAGTTATTTCAAAATGTACATGGAGATTTATCAATGAATATTTATTTCTTTCATAATTTTGTTTTCCAAAATTTCATAATATACATTTTAAATTAAAATATATATAATATTAAAATTTATCCTTCTGCCTTGTTATACTACCATTCATTCATTCAAAAATGTCCACCCATTATAATGAATTTTGCCTCCATCTAACTTCCCCCTTCCTCATTTATTTGCTTTCCAGAGCTAGCTGCTATGACCTGCAGCCCACATTTGTTGAAAACTGCTTGCTCACCATCATTATACACAGTGCCCTCGTAGTCTTTCTCATAAAAGACCCCATGGGGTTGAATGCTGAATGGCTGAGAGGCACGATTGTAGAAGACTACCTCGATGTTGTCACCCACCTCAGCCCGGATGACCGGCCCTGGAAAATGAGAAGGAGAGGCAATGAGAATAAGAATAGGGATGAAAAGAACAGAAAACAGAAGAATACTAAGGGGAGACAAAGAGGAACTAAAGGTAAAACATAAAGACAGTTCATGTCTTTCCAATAATAAAAACAATGTCTTCCAATGATATTGCTAGCTGCGGTGTGAAAAATTCTACTTAATTGTTATAAAAAGCATTTTAGATTCATTATCTTTTTTCAATAATTGAACATAACGCTAAGGTATACAGGTTGCAGGTTATTTATTTATTTCAAGCTGAGGAAGTTGTAGATCAGAGAGATTGAAATGACCTGCCCAAGTTTACAAGGCTGATTAGTAGCAGAACCAGCATTTAAAGAAAAGGATTTCCCCATACCTCACTGTCAGATGTAATCACATTTACCTACATTTTATTATAATAGTTCTAACAGCGAGTTTCCTAATGTGGTTATTGTTGTTAGATGTCATCAAGTCAATTACTACTCATAGCAACCCTATATGACAGAGGAGAAGTGTCTTAATGGATCTTTTTGGGTGTAATTTTAATGTCTATCCTGGAAAAAGTACAGTCAGAATTCTCTTTAGAAGTTTAGAAGAAAGGATGATGAGGCTTTGTCTCTCATATTTTGGACATGTTATCAGGAGAGACTAGTCCCTGTTGAAGCACACTGTGCTTGGTAAAGTAGAAGGTCAGCAAAAAAGAGGAAGCTTCTTAATTATGTGGGTTGATACATTGGCTGCTACAATGGATTCAAATAGAGGAAGGATTGTGAAGATGGTATAGGATGAGGCAGGGTGCCTCACCCTGTCTCCAGGTGTTCCCCACTTCTTTGGTTCTCATTCACACTTCCATCAATTTGATTCTGACTTACAGTGATCCTATAGGAGGACAGGGTAGAACTTCCCCTGTGGGTTTCTGAGGCTATAAATCTTTACTGGAGTGAAAAACCTCATCTTTTTCCTGTGGAGCAACTAGTGGGTTTGAACTGCTGCCCTTGCTGTAGGCAGCCCAAATGCAACCCACTCTGCCTGCTTTGTTTCCAGTCTATGAATTTCATAAGTTAGAAACTCTTTACCCAAGATTCCCAGGTGCTTTTCTTCCTCCAGCTTCACCTTCTCCTGGAATGTCTCATCTTGGAAGGCTTCATAACGGACTTTCCAATAAGTACCCCCAATTCGACTGGAACTCTTCTGGAAGAACTTAGCTGACTCACTGGCACACAAAGAGACAAATGTCAGATGATTTTGGGTTTCAAAACTACATCCGTCACTCTTGGTTCCATCAAGGTCTTCATAGTTATGAAGAATCTCAAAGATCACCCAGATTAATTCATACTCAGTTAAGAAATTTCCTCTAGATGCACAAATGACATGCTGCTCCCACTTGAGCCCTTTCAAGGTCAGTCAACTCATTTTTAGAAGAGGGTATCTCTTCTATTGTCGAGTAGTTTTTATTATTGGGGTTTTTCTTTATAGTAAGTTGAAATCTATTTGCATCTAAGTTCCATTCACTGGAATTAATTGTGTCCTGTGGAGTTATGTACATACCAGAGATGTGTCCTTAGTCAACTATATGCTGACTCCTCTTAATCAAGAATAATATTCACTCCAAATTGAAAGCCCACTAAGTTGGTAAGCTCAGTAGGAGATTCTAGAAACCATACGGATGTCCAGGCCCACACTTTCCTAAGTTACCATAGACTCACTCTTTTGTTTCAAATTGGAGAAATATGTATGAGTGCCCTAGAATCTTTCTCATGCCCTTTCCAAGTCATATACTGTTTCTTTTAGGAAAGACTTCTTTATCAATGATATTCTGTGAACTTTCAACTAAACAGGGCATTAACCTCCTGCTCCATGTTGCACACATCTGGATCATGAATGAAACAAGATAACATGGAGAAAATCTTCCTGCTCCAAAAAAATGGCAATGAGTAGCCACAAATTAGGTTGTTTTCCTTTTCCCCACATTTCTCTGAATGTTCTATATGTTTCATATGCAAACTATAGACTATGAATGAGGAAGGAAAGAATAAAGATAGTAATAATAATAGGACAGATTAGAGTTTAAGAAAAAAACTGATCGAGGATCTGGTCCCACTTGGGCCTTCTTTTCTGAACATTTCCTGAAAGTCTAGCAGAACCAACTCAAAATTCTGCTAGAATTCTTTTCTGGTGATATGGCAAACCCTACAAAATCTTTACTACCAACAACTTCCCAAGAATAAGCCTTCCAAGAGCCTCCAATGAGTTGGCTAAGAACTGTCATGTAATCCTAATGGCCATTGAGTCAATGTGGACTCATAACAATCTGCTGTAGGTTTCTGAGACTCACGTTTTATGGGAGTAGAAAACTGTGATCATCTTGAGACTATTAAGAGTGAAGGAGTGGTGTTTAGCCTGTCAATCAGGTCACAGATTGATGACCTCATTTGGAGGCTCTATGGAGAGAAATAGCTCACTGGAAGCCAGACCCACATGCACTCTCTGCTTCATTATCCTGCTGATGAGACACGTGGAGCTAGAACCCTGGAGATGGAGGAGCCATGTGGAGACCCAAACCAGTGCTGAGATGCTTCCACTGCCACTGGATCCACAAGACTTTTCACACACTTGCCTGTGATCTTCCTGCATTCAACATCTTTGAATGGCTGTGTGAGTCTATAGAGGAACTTATGGACTAGTATCAACATATGGGGTAATATCGGACTTATGGACTTGATCGGGACTGGGCTGGGTATTTTCTTAATGTACAATTACTCTTTGATATAAAGTTCTGTCTTACACACATATGAGTGTCACTGGATTTGTTTCTCTAGTTAACCCGGACTAACACAAAAACCCAGTCTTTCTCTCATGGGGTTACTGATGGTTTCAAATAGCCGACCAGGTGAATCACAGCCCAATACATAACCACTATGCTGCCAAGTCTTCTGCAATGTAATCCTAGTAGATAGTTATTTATAACTCCTAAGTGGAAGGATAATTTCTGAGAGGGAGAGAGCAGATGTGGGGCACTACACCCAGGAAAAGGGAGAAAAGACCTCTTACCTGCCTGGCTCCCTTAAACTCTTTCCAGTACTCCCATCATACCCCATTGGGCCATAGTCCCATTGGATTTCATGGGCCTCAATGAAGTACTGTCGGACTTTTCCTGTGAGCTGGTACACGGGAGGGGCCTCAGAGCAAGACTTGACTTTGTAGAGTGCCTGCATGCCATCTAGAGGGGAAAAAACAGTATCGTGTCTTTATTCCAACCTACAGTATTTGTACTCAGAGTACTCACCTTCTCCCTTTGAATTTTTCTACCGATTGCCCTATACTAGACTTTCTCCTGCCTAAACATGGGTCACATTCTCTTTTTTCTCAAGGGCCTGCAAAGGTTAGAAGGAGTCTAAGCTAGAATTCAAGTACCTCTATTTTTTGAAACCAGCATGGACTCATTTATTGGATCTTTCTTCCTGTCTCTGCAAGAGGTTGGCTTTGTAGCACTATCACATCATGAAGTTAGGCCTTCATCCAAGACCAAGTTTTACCATTATGTGTAAGACTGTAACAAATCACTTACTAAATCTGAGCTAAATTCTTCTTTTGTCACTGGGTAGACTATTAAAAACCACTGTGACAATTACATAATCTCCTGCCGACTTGAGTTGAAGGGGTGGAGTCTAGCCTGCTAATTAGGTCGCAGCTTGATGACCTCATTTGGAGATAAATAGTTCACTGGAGGCCAGACTCATTCTCTCGGCCTTCCCTTTCTGCTGTTGAGACACTCAGAGAGCTGGAGGAGACCCACGGAGACCCATGCCAGCATTGAGAAGCTTCCGTTTCCACTGGATGGATCTGTAAGACCTTTTACCCACTGGCCTGTGATCTTCCTACATCCAGCAGCATTGCATGTACTGTGTGTGTCTAAAGAGGAATTTATGGACTGGTATCAGACATATTGGCTAGTATCAGACTTATGGACTTGATCTGGACTGGGCTTGGATGTTTTCTCAACATACAATTTCTCTTTTATATAAAGCTCTTTCTTATTCATATATGACTCTCTCTGGATTTGTTTCTTTAGTCTACCTGGACTAACACATCCACTTATTAAAGTTAGTAGGACTCATGAATCTAAAAAGATCTGTAAGTCCTCTGTTAAAGGCAGCTCCAAAAAATAATGGAATGCCAGTACATTGGAAATTAGAAATCTGAACTATGAAAAAGAATGAGAAAATGATATTAATTTCTGTTGAGTTATGGATTCCTTGTCAACCTATATCAGGTGCTTTTCTATAACCACTATATGAAACAAGCTTTTAAAGTTCTTTTTTTTAAGATGGAAAAACAAAACTAAGGACCAGAGCAGTTAAATAACTTGTCCAACATCATACAACTAGTCAATGCTATAGTACAGACTTAAGCTTTTATCTTTTAACTGTAAATCATGAGAGCTCACTTTCTTCTATTAGATCCACTGTCTTAATCTCATCACCTGCCCAGTCTTTTGGGTTGAACATCACATTCTCTCCCTGAAGAATCATTAAAATTCTATGAATTAGACATCATTTTCTCTATCCTCAGATGAAGAAACAGAAGCACATAGAAATAATATAATTTACCAAAGGTAGTAGACAAAGAGTGGTACCAGGATTCGAATCCAGATCTTCCTGGTTCTAATGTCCATATTTGTTCCATTATCATGCTGCATCTCCAATCTCTATCTACACTTTTACTTTCTTACCTAGGAATTTCGGGGACCAAGAGAAGACGCTGGATGATGGAAGATGGGTAACTGCCCCCCTAAGTGTCAAGCTTACTACATGAGCTTCCTTATCCTCCAGGCTATAACTCACCATTGACTCAACAGTTTTATATACTAATATGCCACTCCCTGATACCCTCCTAACTTGCCATACATAAAATATTTCCAGAAAACAATGTCTGAAAGGGATGTCAATAACTTTGTGAGTGAACTCCTTTACTTTATAGAGTAACAAATGAGGCCTAAAAAAGAGGGAAAGATTAACTCAAAGTCACAGAGTGAGTTCTTTATTGTAGAGCTGGGACCACAACTCAGGCTTTCTAACTGCTTATATAATCCTAGTCCATAGTCCCATAAATTCCTCCTCATTTCAAATTCTCATCAATACACTCTGCTATTACTTCAACCATTTTCCATCTGTGAACCAAACTGCAACTTTACTGCTGTTGGGACTTAGCTAGAATGCCATTACTCACTTACAATATTCCATTGTCTCCTGAGAGATCCCTACTGTCCTTTAAATCTTCTATGTATTACTTGTTCAATAAACTGTAAATGGCTCTAGATATTTCCTTAGAATTCTATGTAAAAAATTGTAACTTAAAAATTCACCTTTTATACCACCACCAAAAAAAAAAAATATTATTCTCCAATCCATATGGACTTCTCACTAGGATAGATCATAAGTTAGGTCACAAAACAAGTCTCAATAAATTTTTAAAAATTAAAATCATCCAATTTTCTCATTAAAATGTAGTAAAACTGGAAGATAATACAAAGGAAAATGTAAATTTCAGAAATATGTGAAAATTAAACAATAAAATATTAAAGAACCAATGGGTCAAAGAAGACAAACACAAAGAAAATTATAAAACACATTGGGATGGAAAAAATGAAAGCAAAAATTACCAAAACCTATGTTTTGCAGCAAAAAAAGGACCCCAAGGGAAATTATAGATACACAAAGAAAGAAGAAAAGAAAGAAGAAACTTCTCAAATCAATAATCTAACTTTACACTTTAAAAAAGAAGAAAAAAGTTAACTCTATATTCAAATTAGCTAGAAGAAAGAAAATAAAAATGATCAGAGCAGAAATAAGTATGAGAGAAAATAGAGAAAGGAATTGCGCAATTATGTTTGACATGATTGAATTGTGGAGTGATATGACATGTATGGGCTCCCAAGTTACAGGAAAGAAAGAAAGAGAGAGAGAGAGAGAGAGAAAGAAAAAGAAAGAAAGAGAGAAAGAGAGAAAGAGAGAAAGAAAGAGAAAGAAAGAAAGAAAGAAAGAAAGAAAGAAAGAGAGAAAGAAAGAAAGGCATAGATCTAGGAATGGGTTTGGTGCTCGCACTAAATCCGAGCTCCAACTTAAAATCAATCTGTTCTTTCATTTTGGCCCTGCTCCATACTCACCTTCACAAAATATGATAAGAGTGCCACAGCAAAGTGCAGTGAAGAAAGCAGATGGCACCTGGCTATCAATCCGAATAGAGTCTGGGGGTCTTAAAGTTTTGTATTTAAACAAGCAGCCATCTAAGTGAGGGGCCAACTAAGTCCACATGGAAGAAGCACACTAGCTTGTGTGGTCCAGAGATGACAATTACAAGATTTGAATATGGTGAGGGGAAAAGCAGAGTAAAAATTATAAATACCCAATTTGTGGAGGGCTATGGAGGTTGGTGGGAGCCCTAAACCCATGTGCAGAGTATCTAGTAAGGCTACACCACTGGCAGATGTGTTTTAGCTACAGGCAAGAGTCTCGAACAGTCTTACTAACAGGTAGAGACCATTGTAATCTTGATTATGCTGGATCGACCTTGGTACTTAGCCAGTTGAACACCCTATAGATGGGACCTGAATTTGTTCTGGGTGCAAGTATCTCTTACTGGTTCCATGACAGAAATTTCTCCCCTGGCTATTTTAATGTTGCTGGGGATCTATTCCTTCTTACATATTCTTTGTTTTTTGTCTGTATATTGTATCGATTTTAGCCTTACCACCTTAGTGCAGTTTTGTTTTTTACTGTTTTCTGTTGGGTCTCCCAGCTGTGAAACACATGCTTAATGAGAATAACTGATACAAGGGGGATATAGGGAATACAGAAGTGGGGGATACATGAAAGGGAGGGAAAGGGAATCTCAGGAGTAAATAGTGAAGACAAACGTGGGAAAGGAGCACTAGAATGGAGTGTGACTGCTTAACTCATCTTAGAGGTGATTGAACCATGGGAGGTGGGACTGCTCTAAAAATCTGATGTGCGGGTGATTGTACAATTCTCCTTGATATGATTGATTGACTAAACTATTGAATTATATGATATGTAAACTACTTGCCAGTAAAACTGTTGAAAAAAAGAAAAAGAAACATGAAAAGAGTATCCAAATCAGAAAATTATATTTTTCAAATCATCTTATATGTAGAAAATCCCAAAGAACCCACCAAAAAGTTAAGGTTGCAAAACTAATTCAGCAAAGTACAAAAAAATCTCAAACCAAAATTACTTCTATCCAATCAATACTAACTCATAGGACAGAGTAAAACTGCCCCTGTGATCTTTTAAGACTGTAACTTTTTATGGGAGTAGAAAGGCCTGTCGTTCTACTGAGGAACATCTGGTGGTTTCGAACTGCTGACCTTGTGATCACAGTCCAATACTTTACTACACCACAAAGGCTCCAGGCAGGATACAAAACTAACTCATATTTTGAAAGTTGTACTTTTACAACAGCCATGAACAATCTGGCAACAAAACTTAAGAAAACAACCATATTTACAGTAACATCTAAAAGAATAAAACACCTAAGAATAAATTTAAACAGCTATGTGAAAGACCTGTACATTGAGCATTAAGATGCTGCTGAAAGAAATTAAAAACATAAATAAATGGAAAGGCACTTTGTATTTATGGATTGAAAGTCCTTGTTAAGATTCCAGTACTACCCAAAGCAATTTACAAATTGAAAATAACTCCTATAAAAATTCCAGCAGTCATTTGGCGGAAATGGAAAAGCCAATCCTCAAATTCACATGGAATTGTAAGACTTCCCAAATAGGGAAAACATGATTAAAAAAGAGTAACAATTTCATATTTTCTTATTTTAAAACCTACTAGAAAGCTACAGCAATTAAAACAATGTGTTACTGGTATAAGGACAGACATATAGATCAATGGAATAGAATGGTTATTGCTAGGTGCCATTGAGGCAGTTCCATCTGACAGTAACCCTTTGCACAAGAAACAAATACCACCCAGTCCTGTGCTTGAATCCATTGCTGCAGCTACTGTGTCAATCCTTCTCATCAAGGGTTTTCCTCTTTTTCACTACCTGTCTATGTCATCAAGCATGGTAACCTTTTCCAGGGAATGGTTCTCCTGATAATATGTCTAAAGTACGTGAAACGAAGTATCATCATCCTCAAGTCTATGGAGCATTCTGGATGTACTTCTTACAAGACAGTTTTGTTTG